CCAAAGCCTTTGACTGTGGATCACCACAAACCAAAAAATTCTTAAAGAGATGGGAATACCAGACCACCTGACCTGCCTCCTGAGAAACCTGTATGCAGGTCAAGAAGCAACAGTTAGAACTGGACAGTTAGAACAACAGACTGGTTCCAAATCGGGAAAGGAGTACGTCAAGGCTTCATATTGTCACTCTGCTTATTTAACTTATATACAGAGTACATCATGAGAAACGCTGGGCTGGATGAAGCACAAGCTGGAATCCAGATTGCTGGGAGAAATATCAATAACTTCAGATATGCAGATGACAACACCCTTATGGCAGAAAGGGAAGAAGAATTAAAGAGCCCCTTGATGAAAGTGAAAGAGGAGTGAAAAAGTTGGCTTAAAGGTCAACATTCAGAAAACTAAGATCATGGCATGTGGTCCCATCACTTCTGGGCAAATAGATGGGGAAACAATGGAAACAGTGACAGACTTTATTTTGGGGGGCTCTAATATCACTGCAAATGGTGACTGCAGCCATGAAATTAAAAGACGCTTGCTCCTTGGAAGAAAAGTTATGGCCAACCTAGACACCATATTAAAAAGCAGAGACATTACTTTGCCAACAAAGGTCCATCTAGTCAAGGCTATGGTTTTTCCAGTAGTCATGTATGGATGGGAGAGTTGGACTATAAAGAAAGCTGAGCGCTGAAGAACTGATGCTTTTTAATTGTGGTGTTGGAGGAGACTTTAGAGTCCCTTGGACTGCAAAGAGATCCAACCAGTCCATCCTAAAGGAAATCAGTTCTGAATATTCATTGGAAGGACTGACCGTAAAGCTGAAACTCCAATACTTTGGCCACTTCAGGCAAAGAACTGACTCGTTTGAAATGACCCTGATGCTGGGAAAGATTGAAGGCAGGAGGAGATGGGGATGACAGAGGATGAGATGGTTGGATGACATCACCAGAAGTTGGTGATGGACAGTGAAGCCTGGTGTGCTGCAGTCCATAGGGTCATAAAGAGTTGGACACAACTGAGCAACTGAACTGAACTGAACTATACATCTAGAGCAAAGGGTTTGGATGTGCTGAGATTTTTGGAGGAAAGAGCAAAGGGAGGTGGTGTGAAAAACAAGAGAGGGAGAGTTGGAATCTTTGGTCTGAAGGTAGATGAGAGAAATTGAAAGTGTGGAGATCAACAGGAAGACTTCTCTAGGAGAAGGGGTTCAAACTGTGATAATTAAATAAGTTTTCTGAACATGTTATTGCCCAGGGATTGGGTAATGAATATAAAACATGGAAAATTTTTTCAGATCATCTGTTGAATGAGAAGTTAGAGGCTCTTAATGCCAAGACTTCTATTCTTTATTTTAAGGGAAAAGTCCTCACTAAATTCTTCTAATTCTAACTGAGTCTTTTTTTCAACTTTCCTACTTTCTAAGCCCTGACCACTGACATCCAGGAAATAATATTTTTCCAAGACCACCATAGGGGAGGGGAATGCTAGGTCTTTAAACTGACATTCCTTTTTTGTTTTTTGTAAAGGTGATATAGCTACAGATTGATAATCTTTGGGCTAATTTGGTCTCTTTTCCCCCTTCTTATCTTACAAATGAGTTAAAACTCACTTCTGTGGTTTGTAATTCACACTGAATATTTACAACTTTTCCTTAAATACCAAATGATTAATTGCTAATAACTGCGATCATCTGAATATGTTTCAATGTTTTATAATCCCATTTTAAAAAACAAATTAAGCTTGCCCTTAAAACTTGGTTTCACTAATGAGTTCAGTTAATGTAGTGAGACAAGTCACCAGCTCATAAACCCTGCAATATTACAGACCATCATCCATGCCTTATAAATACACTGCTGCCTATATGCCTCCCAACAAATCCTGCTATGATACCTGAAAAACTCATTTACTTCTTTGGCCACCTTTAAAATTGAAACAAAGAGAAAAACACTCCAGCAGATAGGTAGGAACTCATATACTTTTTCTTCAAAATTACTTAATAACTAAGGGCAGATTAGAAAAAGATGTATAAATTTGACATGGATGATGTACTTTAATAAAGACATACCACACAATCCTAATCTTCTACCAAATATTAGCTGCAGTTTTCTCTGGGTGGTTTACATATCTTTATGGGGGATCTTAAATATCTTTTTAATTTCTCAATTTTGAATTATGAGCAAAAGTAAATCAGAAAAAAAGGCAGTATACTCGAATCTTCCAGGACTGTTAGGCACATTTGAAAAGGCATTGCTGCACTGGACAGACTTCACATACTGAGAGGAGGGGCTTGGTTCTTGCAGGAGCCATGGTCTCAGTGTCTGGTCAAGTTCAGGTTTGCGCACAGCTTCTGCTGACAGTCTTTGGAAGATTATTGATTAGGGATTTCCTGTTTTTCAATATTCCGCACATGCATGGAGCTTCTCTGTACTTGCCTTGTGCAGTTTTTCTCTAGCTCTGACATCCCTGAACTATGACTTTTGATGTGTTTGGGTAAGCATTTTAGTTCTGGGTAAAGTTGGCTTTTCTGTTTGTACTGCCCTGCAGATGCCATCTTTTTGTTCATCTTCCTTGGGATGGTTTCTCATGTTCAATTTAAAAACAATTCCAGCCCCCTCCCCTCTTTCTTGCTGTATTTTCAAAAGACAGACATCTCTTCCTGTTTGCTGGCATCACGAGCAGCCTCTGCAGATGTGCCTTCTCTCCCTTCTCCAGGCACTGACACCACGTCTCACGTCCTGAGTTCATCAGAGCGCTCCTGGGCTGCAGCTGAGACGCCTTCCACCTTCCGGGCCACGTCCCCCAACTCTCTCCCTGCGCTGGTTGGCAGAAGCCCTGGATTCCCACAGAACAGTCTGCCCCCACTGCCAGAATGGCACCATTGCCTCCTGATGTTCCTCACCCTGGAGTCCTTTATCGTGTAAGTGAGGACTGAGATTTTGCAGGGACAGCCATCTTGTCATGAGACGGAAGATTCCCTGGCTCTTGAGGCAGGAGAAGCAATAGAGGGTCTTTGCTCTGCGCCTCATCCGAAGACTCACCTGTCAGAGACTCTCTCTGCATGGGTCACCACACTGGCGAAACGTTCTTTCCATCTTTCCCCACACCTGAAGACTTTCTGGCCTCTGGTCGAAAATCCACTCAGTAATTGTAATTCGTAAAACAATAGGAATTTCTCAGTCATAGACTTCTGGCCCTGGAAATCTATGTGTGTGACTTCAGCCAAATCACTTAGCCTGGGGTCTCTTTCTTGTCTCTTCTCCCTTCAGACCCAGTGTGCCTGTTGTGCGCGCATTCCTTACAGCACAGCTCGGGGGGCTCTGAGCGCCCCCCGTAAACACTGCAGGGTGAGATTTCTGCCACGCTGGTCATGCGAGGTAGAAACAGTGATGAATAGAGTTCCCTCTGCAGATGGTTCCGTTATTCTAACTTCCTTTTCTTTCTTCTTTTTTTTCTATGTTGGAGTTGCTTTGTGGATTGCTTAACATCAAATGGAATAATACTTAACATTTTAATGGTTGACAAAGCCCATGACTCAATGAATGCTAAGTATGTCTACTCGTCATCCTCTCACTCCATTCTACAGCCCTTCACAGTAGAGGCTGGTAACCTTCTCAAGTAACTTTTTCTCCACGGAAATATGGGGTTTCCCCCATTCAACAACTCTATGGCAGGATCTCTATCATCCTCTTTTGGGTTTCCTTGGCCCAGTTTTAATAAAAATTTATTACCAAGTACTTTGAAATGCAAGTGATCACTAAATTTTAATTCAGCCTACAGGAAAATCTCATTAACTTGATATTGGCTAATTCAATTTAATGGATCCATCAAAGAAATTTCTCTTCACTAGATGATTAGATCAGTTTGCATGTATAATAAGCATAGTTAATTCACAATGTAAAACTATTACGAAATTTGAACTGAAAATTTGGCTGTAAGACTTTAAGAACTGGTTTCTTTTGAAACAAACTGTAAAGATAACCTAGGAATTTCAAAAAGTATGGAAAAATGGTATTGAAGTTGGAATTTTTAAAAAAATGTGTATATATTTAAAACTTTTGACCACCATCTGTTAACAAGCACATGCTAAAGCACTAATTTTAAATTTAAAAAATAATTTTCGCCTAAATTTCAGATGAACAAATTCTCACGATTATCTTAAAATTATGTGATTCATTCAGTATTTCAAATATAGTCTGATCAATGAACTAAATCTGTTTTCACAAAAATTAAAAGTTTGTAGAGATTTTTAATAACTTCCTCATCATCAGTGCTATTTAAAAGATAATGCTGGGACTCTCAGGGTGATCTGAGTTTGCCTGCCCATGCAGAGGACACAGGTTCCTTCCCTGGTCCCGGAGGATCCCACATGCTATGGAGCTACTCGGCCTGTGCACTCTAGAGCCCAGGCTCTACAAACAAGAGAAGCCACTGCAAGGAGAAACCCATGCATCGCAACAAAGACTCAGTGCAACCAAAAATGTAAAAAATAAAAAAAAATTTTTAAAGACAATATACTGCTGCTAAGTCACTTTAGTCATGTCTGACTCTGTGAGACCACATCCCTGGGATTCTCCAGGCAAGAACACTGGAGTGGGTTGCCATTTCCTTCTCCAATGCATAAAAGTGAAAAGTGAAAGTGAAGTCGCTCAGCCATGTCTGACTCTTCACGACCCCATGGACTGCAGCCTACCAGGCTCCTCCGTCCATGGGATTTTCCAGGCAAGAGTACTGGAGTGGGGTGCCATTGCCTTCTCCGGACAATATACTGGTATAGGGAAAATTACTTTATGATGAAGTACAATGAATTAGCCTAAGTCTTTTATCCTATATGAATTTAAAAATATTAAATAAGTACATGGAGCTTAGAAAATGGTTTGTAATAAAGGTTTTATCTGACCAATAGTAAAATAATTTAGACATCAGCTGAGTACTTAAAATTAGTGCGTAGCTTAGGACAACCTATAATGACCACTTACCAAGTTTCTAGTTCTGTCAACATTACCAAGCTTTCCAGATACTGTGCTAAAGGTGTTTCCAATAGGTTTTTCAGTAGGGAGAGGAGGTGGGCTTTGTGGATCCTCTTCATGTAAACCTGAAAAAAACAGAAATAATTAATCAGTAATTTTTAGTCTTCGAGGGTTTCACAGGATGAAAAGACTGCAGCTTACTTCCTTAGGAAAATGTCTATACACAAAAGAATAGATAGCTAAGCAAATGAGAAAGATCTCCTGGCAAATCTCAGAAAATTGATGGGTTAGCAGCCATCAGTTAATTTTACCAAATGTTTTATCAAGAGTAAAAATGATACTAAATAAATACAACAGTAAGCCAGCATTTGTTGGAACCTTCTATGGACTAGTTATTAAGTTAAGGCACTTTATTCATATGCATTTCTCTAACCAACATCTATCTAAGTGCTAGATCTGTTGAGTCCACTAGCTAGTAGCCACATATGGCAGTTTGAACTTAAATCTTAATTAAAATTAAATAAAAAGTTCAGTCCCACAGTTGCACGGACCACATTGTAAGTTCTCCGTAGCCACATATGGTTACTGGCTACCATATTAGAACGCACTATGCTAGATACTGTTGCATCCATTTTACCGATGAAGAAACTGAAGCTGAGAAGAAAACAAATGAACTATCCAGGTCTTGCTTCAACAGTACATGAACAGAGAACTTCCAGATGTGCAAGCTGAATTTAGAAAAGGCAGAGGAACCAGAGATCAATTTTCCAATATCCGCTAGATCATAGAAAAGAGCAAGGGAATTCCAGAGAAAATCTGCTTCATTGACTATGCTAAAGCCTTTGACTGTGTGGATCACAACAAACTGTGGAAAATTCTTAAAGAGATGGGAGTACCAGACTACCTGTGAAACCTGTATGCAGGACAAGAAGCAACAGTTAGAACCAGACATGAAACGAAGGACTGGTTCAAAATTGGGAAAGGAGTACGTCAAAGCTGTATATTGTTACCCTGCTTATTTAACTTATATGCTGGGTACATCATGTGAAATGCTGGGCTAGATGAATCACAAGCTGGAATCAAGATTACCAGGAGAAATATCAACAACCTCAGATATAGAGATGATATCACCCTAAGGGCAGAAAGTGAAGAGGAGCTAAAGAGCCTCTTGATGAAAGGGAAAAAGGAGAGTGAAAAAACTAGTTTAAAACTCAACATTCAAAACACTAACATCACAGCTTCTGGTCATTACTTCATGGCAAATAGATGGGGAAAAAATGGAAACAATGACAGATTTTACTTTCTTTGGATCCAAAATGACTATGGATGGTGACTGCAGCCATGAAATTAAAAGACAGATGCTCCTTGGAAGAAAAGCTATGACAAAGCTAGACAGTGTATTAAAAAGCAGAAGCATCACTTTGTTGACAAAGGTCTGTATAGTCAAAGCTATGGTTTTTCCAGTGGTCATGTATGGATGTGAGAGTTGGACCATAAAGAAGACTGAGTGCGGAAGAACTGATGCTTTTGAATTGTGGTGCTGGAGAAGACTCTTGAGAGTCCGTTGGACAGCAAGGAGATCAAACCAGTCAATCCTAAAGGAAATCAAACTTGAATATTCAATGGAAGTACTGATGCTGAAGCTCCAATACTTTGGGCACCTGATACGAAGAGTCAACTCATTGGAAAAGACCCTGCTGTTGGGAAAGATGGAAGGCAAGAGGAAAAGGGGATGACAGAGAATGAGATAGTTATATGGCATCACTGGCTCAATGGACAAGAGTTAGAGCAAACTCCGGAAGATGGTAAAGGACAGGAAAGTCTGGCATGCTGCAATCCATGAGGCAGCAAAGAGTTGGACATGACTTAGCAACTGAACAACAAAAACATCCAGGTCTTGATGCTAGTAAGAGTCAGACCACAGCTTTGAATCCAAAAGTCTATTTTCATTGTAATAAGCCTTGCTGCTCCCTAATAGGTGGTGTGACCAACCCTCCCCCAATCCAAATAATTAAATGTGCTTTCCAATTCATCAGCTCCAGATTAATGGGCTTAATTGCTCTCATTTCCACATGCAATATCTTTACATCCAAATTATATCCTTAACCCAGAAATAGTGTACCAACTTATTATAAAAAGAAGAAAACAAAGATGACCAGGTTTAATTTGTGATAGCTAATTAAAAGCTGTGTGCAAAATACTTGGAGAGAGGATGATGGTAACATATAAAGGAGGCTGAAGCCACTTTTTACTGGTTAAGGCATTTAAAGGTGATGGGAAGTTTTCTCATTCAAATGAACACTCTCTGCTTCCATTTCACATGAAAAACTTATAACAAGAGGATGAGTTCCTGTTTTATTCACAGACAGGGAAACACTCACAAAGGAGGGAAGTGCCTAGGCCAGCTACTAGGAAAACAAGGATCCAGATACAGGCAAGCTTTCTTAGTGAGAGGCGGGGCTGCCACACAGAGACCGTCCAACTCCACTGCCACCTTGAAGACTCTCTCTGTGTTGTAGTTTCCTTATTCTTACGCAGAAATGATGAATCACTTAGGATATATTGTCGTGACAAAAAACTTAAGGGTACAAAGTAGTAAGAACATGAAAGTAGAGAGGAGATAGCTTCCTGGAAGGAAGGGACATAGTAATTATCTGATGTGGGTACGTGGGGGAGGTGGAGATTTTCGATTTCAAATAAAGTGGTCAGCGGAGGCCTCAATGAGAAAAGTGCCATTTGAGCAACAACCTGAAAGAAGAGTGAAGAAGGAAGCTATGCAGATATCTGGGGAAAGGACATCTGAGTCAGAAGAAACAGATCTCCAGGGGAAGAAGCTGACTGAGTCAGAAGAAAGAGCTCTCCAGGGGAAGAAGCGGTTCAGAGCAAGGAGTTTTGTACCACAAAGCTGTTCGTTTCTTTTCTTATGCATTCCAAGTTCTTCAGACACCAAGTCTTATTTATTTTTCCTCTATAGCATTTATGCATTGCTTAATAATTATAATAATAAAATTTTAGGGGACTGATTTTTTCTTTTTTGGCTGTGCCTTGTGTCATGTAAGATCTTAGTTCCCCTACCAGGGATGAAACCAGTGTCCCTTGAAGTGGTAGCACAGAGTCTTAACCCTTGGACCACCAGGAAAGTCCCTGGGGAATTAGTTTTTATATAAATAGAAATAATTCTCTAGGAACTAGCCCTTCAGTTCTCTTACATATAGCAGTACAGAACTCAGCTTTCTAATAGCTCCCGGAGCTTTGTCAGGGTAATAAATAAAGGTGCTTCTTCAATATGTCTTTTTCAGGATTTCAGGACTATTAATTCGACTTATCAGTGTATAGGAAAGAATAAAGACTGCAGGACTGAGTTACAAGGCTGGCCCTTGATGGCCTAGAAAGCCGGATTTTGGGAAGGTTCCCACCATTTCCAGAACAGATAAAACAAAAGAATATGGTTTATGCTGAACACCTGCTTTCCTTCTGGGAATCTGGAATTTTGGTACATAACAAAATTTCTAGAGGTGCCCATGTAAACAGCCCCCAACAAAACCCCTGGGTACTGAGTCTCTAATGAGCTTCCGTGATTGACATTTCACAGCTGAGGAGACTGAGGAACATCCTGTGCAACCCAACTAGGAGAGGACTCCCAGAAGCTTGTGCCTGGCTTCCTCCAGACTTTGCCCCATGAACCGTTTCCCTCTGCAGATTTTGCCTCTGATAAATCACAGCTGGAAACACAACTGTATGCTAAGTTCTGTGAGTCCTGCAAGCAAATCACCGAACATGGGGGTTTTGGGGACCCTGATACAACAGGAGAATACATTGCAATGTACAAGTTATATTCCTTGAAGCCACATAAGCTTTGGACAATATTTATTATCATTATATCTCACACAGCTTATTAAAATCCCAAACACGTTATAATAAGGTAACAGCAAGCAAGCAGACAACCTAATGAGCTGTCATGTGGGCTATATCTGTGGGTTATATCATGCTGTCAAAAGAAACACATGACCAGTTCTTTAGTCTAACACTACTATATAACTTCCTATGAAGCTTCAACAGTACGTGAACCGTGAACATCTAGATGTTCAAGCTGAATTTAGAAAAGGCAGAGGAACCAGAGATCAATTTTCCAATATCCGCTAGATCATAGAAAAGAGCAAGGGAATTCCAGAGAAAATCTGCTTCATTGACTATGCTAAAGCCTTTGACTGTGTGGATCACAACAAACTGTGGAAAATTCTTAAAGAGATGGGAGTACCAGACTACCTGTGAAACCTGTATGCAGGACAAGAAGCAACAGTTAGAACCAGACATGAAACGAAGGACTGGTTCAAAATTGGGAAAGGAGTACGTCAAAGCTGTATATTGTTACCCTGCTTATTTAACTTATNTGATGCGAAGACTGACTCATTGGAAAAGACCCTGATGCTGGGAAAGATAGAAGGTGGGAGGAGAAGGGGATGACAGAGGATGAGATGGTTGGATGGCATCATCGACGCGATGGACACGAGTTTGAGTAAACTTAGGGAGTTGGGGATGGACAGGAAGGCCTGGCATGCTGCAGTTCATGAGGTCACAAAGAGTCGGACACGACTGAGCGGCTGGACTGAGTGAAGTGAAAAGTCATTAGATTTTGGTACTGTTGACTTTCTCTCCTCATTTTTCAGGGCAACTCTGTTCAATCTTCTCACTGCATGGATTGGAGCCATTCGTTAATAAAACCATCAAGAGACTAAAGCCAGTATGATGCTTCTAGGCAGTGTTTTACAGAGAGAGAGGTCCAACCCTAAACTAAAGGGTCTCATGGCGTTGCAGGGCACGCCTGCAGTGTGATCCTCGGATGCTGCAGGTGAAGGGCTGGTATACTTGCTACGCTGTTGCCAGGAGCACAGGGGCAGAGTCTTGTCAGACAGAGGCGAGGATGCCTCCGGGCTATGCAAAAAAAACGTTAGAGGACAGGAAATGAAAGAGGCTCACAGAGAGAGTGTGTGATCACCCTGGAGCCCACTGGATGTCATTTGTGTGCATACATCTNTACTTGCTACGCTGTTGCCAGGAGCACAGGGGCAGAGTCTCGTCAGACAGAGGCGAGGATGCCTCCGGGCTATGCAAAAAAACGTTAGAGGACAGGAAATGAAAGAGGCTCACAGAGAGAGTGTGTGATCACCCTGGAGCCCACTGGATGTCATTTGTGTGCATACATCTCACACACTTTTTCCCTTGGCCTCTAGGAATCTCTCTTATAATAATATCAGATTTTTGTTTGCAGTACTTACTAAAACTCATCCAAAATTTCATGTGAGAGTGTGAAAGTGGTTAGGGCTCTGTACTTCCAAAGCCAAGAACCTGGGTTTGTTCCCTGGTTGAGCACAAAGACCCCACAAAGACAGCACCCCCAAAAGAATCAAGTAGGAAGTTTATAAAACATGTAATGTTATACTAAGTAAAAAGTCTTTTTATACATTGCTACGTTTTTATAACTTTTGGTTATTTCCCTTCAGACAATTCACACATAGCTATATTTAGATTATGCTGACTGGAATAATATACTCCTAACAGACATAAACAACTGTATTTGCTATCAGTTTCAACTACTTCTCTACTGTATCTTTACTACTGGCACTAACATAGGATAATATACTTATTCTGAGTTTAAGCCTCCTTCTAATCTCTCTGCCTCAAAGGATGTTAAAAAAAAGTAAAATCTAAATTAACTGTCTAGAGAATTATGAAAAAACAACTTGCTTTTATATGTTCTCAGCTATGAGTAATAATAATAAACGGCCAATAACACATAATTTCAGAAGCAGACATTGATAAATTAGCATATATTTTTCCCCAGCTCCCAGAGTAACAAATAAATGAGGCAGAGAACTGCTTACATTTTCCTGGTTTGGCTGGAATTCGAATCACAGTGGGCTTCCTGGTGGGTGCTGGTTGAATTGCTTGTTCCTTTGTTGGTTCTGTTCTGGTGGGGAGCTGAAAAGGATCTAATGAAAAACAGTTGATTTTGCACATTTTAGTTAATATGGACTTACACAAAAAACCTCATTCATAATTAAACAGTCATATTTCTCATGCCCTAGGGAAAACTATTCATGGATAAACAAAATCTCAGTTTGCAGAGACAAAAACAAAATCAGGGCTCATGAAAGGAAACAACTTGGAGCTCTGTAAATAATTTATATGGCTTTTTTTCCTCTCTGATGAGAGATAGCCAGGACAATCTTCAATTATGTAGAAGCTATCTTTCACGGGAGTGTAATCATTTTATAAGTGTCTCCCTGAAAATGAGGGGCAGTTGAAACAAGGAGCCCATTTCCCGGCACTGTGAAGCCTCCTGGATCCTCCACTCTCATGCCTCTGCTAGAAAACCTCCCCCGAGGGCCGCCAGGGCCTACAGGGGGCGCTCCGCAGTCTTGAATAGTCAGGTAAACCTACACCTCACTAATATGAAACAGAGAGCGTTTTACCCTGGAAGTAAGGTAAGACATCTCCCTTCAAATATTTAATTTTGGTGCAAGGATATATGAATAAGCATTTCTCTGTCTTAACTCATTCATTTAAAAATTGGCACTATGTGCTTAGGGAGAGTATTTTAAACAAAAGCACAACCACCAAACTTGCTTTTCCCTTTTTCTCTGGCCACAGTGCATGGCTTGTGGGATCTCAACTCCCAGACCAGGGACTGAACCCCGGCCCTCAGCAGTGACAGCATGGAGCCCTAATCACTGTACCGGCAGGGAATTTTCCCATCAAGACTTTTTCCTGATAGAAATAGTCTTTTTTCCTTTAACACAAATGTTCTTTTTAGTAGCTTGGAAAAATGACCATAAACTTTTTAGAAGATGAGAAATCTAAAAATAAATAGATTAGCAAAAACAAAATCAAATGCTGTATGATGCATACTCTGCACGGCACATGGGATCTCATGAGGCTGCTTCTGCCTTTATTCCATAAGAGACAGAATGAATATATCTTGTATTTGGCACCTGTCCTCTGGATCTCACCTGTGGGGAGATGCTCCCTGTGAAACAATGCACTCCAAGCGTTCGTGGTTGGCCTGTTACAGCCGTTGTTCGATAAAGCACCTTTTGCTGACCAACTCTTTTCAGGATATATGAAAAGCTGAGCTAAGGATCAGAAGCGCTTTCAGCTCCCTGACACTTGCCTTCCCTCCCACCCAGCTCTCAGGACACCCCAGACCTGTCACCAGAGCAGCACCCACTCACTAGTCACTTGCTCTCATGTCTGCCTACCACGTGCGACTAACAGTGAGAGGTGGGAGCCAGGACAGTGAAGGACAACCCCACTTTAAGTTTGCTATCTCCCACCTACATAAGACCCCCAGGGGGCACGCTAGATGACACAATTACTGCTAGGTTACTGGGAAAAAAATTAGATGACCCCTCTATGGAAACCTACTAGTAGCACATTAGTGAGGCGAGCCTTGTCTATGTTCAAAAATCCAACTCAACGTCGTCAAAACAATGTCAAACTTTCAGAAAAGGCTCTTACAATATAACCCGAGAAAATCAACAAAGCTCTTTTAGGTCTAACCAAATTCTTTAATCCCTTATTTTGTTATAGCATTATTTTTCATTTCAAAAATAATAATTATTTTAAAAATGGGAAACATTGAGAAAATATGATAGAAAATCTCCTGTAATCCCATCTCTCTAGTAAAAATTATCTAAAATTTGGTGTGTCTGTCTACAGATTTTTTTTCTATTATTGCACTGTAGATATTTTTGTTTTTTCGGAGTTTCTGGGCTGCAGCACATGGCTTGTGGGATCTTCCCCGACCAGGGACTGAAGCCGGGCCATGGCAGTGGAAGCTCTGAGTCCTACCACAGACGCCAGGGAGATCCTGATTATGCAGGTATTTTGAAAAGTAAAAGGAGAATCATTTTATATCTATTTCTCTGTGAGACAGGCTAGGACCTGGGACTCTTGGTGGCAGTGCTGCATTGCTCGCACTTGGACACACCCCTCCTCAGGCGACTAAGAAACTACACGAGACTAAAATAGCTGCATGCATTTGCATCTGCTGCGGACTCTGGACAAAAGATACAAAGAGACCAAAGAACCCAACTGCCACTTCTGAAGAACCCCAAGCAAAAGCAGGATACGGCACATGCCCCCTGCATACAATACCGCCTGAGGGGTGGGAAAACATCTATGCTACCCCTCCAGCTCAGAAGGTAAAGAATCTGCTTGCCAATGCAGGAGATCGGGCTTCAGTTCCTGGTTGGGAAGATCCCCTGGAGAAGGGAATGGCTACCCGCTCCAGTATCCTTGCCTGGAGAATTCCATGGACAGAGGAGCCTGGCAAGCTACAGTCCATGAGATCGCAAAGAGTTTGGACACAACTGAGGGACCAACACACACACACACACACACACACGCACACACACACACACACACACACACACACACACACACGCACACGCCCCCAGCTGGACCCATGACTCACTCCACACCAGGAACCAGCTTGGCCCCTGTTGGAGAGCCAGTGAGCAAGGGAAGCTGTCGCTGTTCTCGCTCCCGCTGCTACAGGAGGGGCCCGGATAAAGCCTTGCCTGAATTTCTTGTCTGGCCTCTAGTCATTTTCTATTGATTAAGGAGCCCAAGAACCTGGGGGGTAGGTAACATTTGTAACTTGCTCTTTTTTTCATTCAGTATTGATTGAGTGCATGCTACATAACAAATGCTGTTCTAGTTACTGGGAATATGTCAGTGAACAGAGCAAAGAACTCTGCCCTCATGATGCTTACACTTGGGCAGGAGATGGAGACAACAAACAATAAATATAATAGAAAAGTGATCCATGTGGTATTTTACAAGGTGAGACATGCTACTGATAAAGAGACACGTTGAGCAAGGGGGGACTTCAGGTGTGGGCTGAAGGGAAGCAGGCTGAACGTGAAATGGCAGAGCAAGAGGGTGTGCGGAGCAGAGGGCTCCAGGGCCTCCAAACAACTGGATTTTACACATCCTAACAGTTTTTCCAAGTTGAATAATACACATCTCGTCTTTGGGAAATAGCAGTGCCCATGATAAAAAGGGGTAGGTACACCGATATGAAAGCCCATTATTGCAAATACTACCTGACTCTGAACTCCCTGGATGTTGCATCTGAGTACTGCTGGCTAAAACGGAATAATCTGAAGACCCCATGTAATCTGGCATCTATATGATCCAAACACAGCAATATCCTATCTTTCCTGTGTGCACAGCTTTCCTTCCTGTTCGTCTCTCTCTCCCCTGCTGTCGCCCCTGCTCTGCCCCCGGGGCCCGTGTTGGAACCTGCGGACCGTCTGTCCCCTCCTGTGGCTGTGGCACAGTCTTCACCATCCCCACCCCACAACCATGGCTGTGACAGCCATCCTCTCAGAGCTCTGCTTCCTCCTGGGAAGAGGACCAAAACTCAAGAAAAGGATTGAGACTGATAACCACTCTTGGTGCTCTCCATTCAAGCAGCATGTTGGCGCTAACAGCTGCTTTGGGGCCTTATAAGCTGTTGGTTATTAGGAGAGGTGTCTAGTTGGTGAGTTTAGGGGGTGACTGTGGAGGGAGAGGAAAATCTTGAGTGTGGTATCACTTGAATCGTTCCCCAATTCATCTGAAATTCTGTCTTTTTCACATTCCAGGAGTGAGAGCATGAATAAGGTGGGTGGGGAAGGAGAAAGAAGCCGCTCAAGGGCCCTCAGTGGACCGGGCACAGGGGCTCCCAAATGTGCTTGCTCTTGGAGGACTGGCCTCAGGGAACCCCGTCCCAAAGCCTGCAGGTCTCACCGATTGCATTAAAGGGTGTAGTCATTCTTTTACACTTGCTGGGTTTAAACTGAAGTAGCAAAATACAACTTAAATACAAAGTATTCAAAATATCCTAGACATTCACTCTCTTCTTGGTCCATATTTTTAATATCATTAGCTACTCTTTAATAATTGGCACTCAGATCATGGGTAATTATTCTACTATATATGTCTCTGGAAAAGAGAAGCAAGGAGGCCTCAGTGTCCCGCACTGTGTTGTTCGGCAGGAGTGGGTCTGCCTAGCGACCTCCCCCAGCTGGGCTCCCTGAGTCAGCGAGCTCGGCATCCGCCTCTCTGCCCGCGTGCTGTCCCGGGCTGCCGTCCAGAAGAGGCGTGCAGATAAGTGGGGAGGACACACAGCGTCACGGCAGTGAGAAGGCAGAGCCAGAGGCCTGGTTTTCATCTTGATGATGCTGTGTGAGTCTCTCTCTAGCTACACCATATGTTTACTTTTATGTCTTTCCATGAGGGGGGTGTTTTTCTCCAACAGCGATGTAAGTAGGTGACCTAGAAAGCAAGGTGGCACCTCATGTTTGGGAACTCCTGGCAGTGCCAGGCAGGAAACTGTCTACTATGGCATGTTTTTTAGCAGCAAGTTAATAAATAAATAAAAACAAAACATCCTGAAATGCCCATCACTAGAGGAGACACTGACTCGACTATGCTGTGCCCATACCGGGGAATATCAGGCAGGCGTAAGCGAACAAGGGTCAGACTTAGATCCACTGGCCCCGAGAGAAGACCTGAAACCTCAGTACCAAACGAAAAAAGCAAGCTGCTGAGTAATGGGTACAGTTCAGTAAAAATTTCTGTAAAAAGCAAGAAAAAGTTTATATATGTGTACACATCTGTAAGCTTTGGTTTGGAACATTCAAAGGCACCAAAAGCTACATACAAAATGGTTCACACTGGTTACTCTGAGGATTTGAGTGGATAGGAGAGAGATTAATTTTTTATTTTACTAAATGTTTATATTGTTTTGTTACAGCAAATGTTACTTTGTAACTGAAACAAAATCCAATAAAATAAATTCAATGACATGAAAAAGTTACAAAATTAAGCTGAAATAACACCTGTGCCAAATAAATTGAAACAAAAATCACTTAGAAATAAAAGGAAAAAATATGAAAATACTTGTCCCTTTAGTTGCTTTTTCAAGGCAATAACAGCC